ATCCTAGATCCTTGTATCTTCCCATCCTAGACTCTAGATCCGTGTATCCTTCGATCCTAGACCTTTGTATCCTTCCATCCTAGATCCTTGTATCTTTCCATCCTAGACCCTTGTATTTTTTCAACCCTGCCTCCAATAAGATCTTGACTATCCCACAGAAACACCGATCCTCTTTCTATGAATATTTTACTGTGTCTACTAATTCAGAGCTAGAAGATAGTGTGTATGGTCTTCACTTGGAAATTTGAAATATAATTGTAAACGTTTTTGCATTGAAAAATTAGCCAACATATGTTTTGAAACATATATTAGCATACATAAGTTTAGCATAGAATAATAATTACAGTAATAATAATAATTAAGATTTATTGAGCTGTCTCTCTAATTTATACATCTTATACCTAATACCTTGTACTCCCTACTCCCTACTCCCTACTCCCTACTCCCTACTCCCTACTCCCTACTCCCTACTCCCTACTCCCTACTCCCTACTCCCTACTCCCTACTCCCTACTCCCTACTCCCTACTCCCTACTCCCTACTCCCTACCTCCTACCTCTTACCTCCTACTCCCTACTCCCTACTCCCTACTCCCTACTCCCAACTCCCTACTCTCTACTCTCTACTCCCTACGCCCTACTCCCTACTCCCTACTCCCTACTCCACCTGTAACTGTGTATACCTGAAGATATATTGGATCTCGTTTAAGGAGAGGCAGGGTCTCTAATTTTACAAATGTGAACACTCTGTCTCAGACAATTGAGATCTCAAACGGATATTATGAAGACATCATCATTTCCTAAAACATAATCTGGACATGCAGGGCTGCACTATCATTATTATCCATTTAAAATATTATTTTTTAAAGTGTTATTTTGCTTTTCTAGTATTTAATTTGAATTATTTCCGTATATTTCTCCACCCCCTGTTGATATTTTAGAATTTATTGTTGAGATTATTTTGATTATGTTTAATTTGTTGATGAAGGGTTGTCAGGCACTTTTAACGTTTGCCATTCAACCAACCATCAACAGTATAATTTAACCCCTACCTAACTCCCCCCGTCTTAACCCCCTTCAACTACTCTGTGAATTTATGAAATAACTCTCCCTGCCTACCCTGCAATTACTAGTTTCTTTTTAGACTATACCTAGAAATAAAAAGTCATAAATTAAACTGCCACAAATTCTAACTTTATAAACCCTAGTTGTTTTCAACCTTGTGTCCTTTGAGCCTTTGATATTTCAAACTATAAATAAAAGATTGCAAAGATAGAAAGATTTTAAAACCGAGATTTGATGGGTTTTTTGGACAACTTAATTTTTGCTTTTGCAGTAAGAATAATATAACAAGAAAAAATTTAAAAAGTTTTTAATATATTTCATCATTTAAATCCGGCAAACCAATTTTAAACACTAGATGAATCTTATTTAAAGAGTATAATTCTCCTTCTTTGTGGGTAACCCTGTTGATTACATACTTTTCGGATGCATCAGTATTTATCTAATACCCGGGTGTTTAAGTATAAAATAAAATGTTTTAATAAAAAAATCTTAAATTGAATTTTCTTTTTACTTTTTTAAATACTATTCATAAATTGCACGTCAAACTGAAGTAAAATGCACTTACGATTAAAATCTTATATGGTTTCCATCATAACTCCTCTTCTTAAAGAATTATTTAGAAGACCAAATATGTTTTGAATTCATGATATGTAATCAAGTAAATTTGCTTTTCTTACACTTGCAAGATAGATTAAAATCCGAATAAGAGGAGTTACGGAGTCACAAAGTCGTATCAACAATGTCAATTGAATTTGACCTTCGCCTCCTGGTTAGTTTGCTGTGATTGTAACATTTTAGTGTGGTTTGCAATTATGGATTTTTGTTTTTGTTTCCCTATTAATTAAGAAAACGGGTTAAATTTAAATCTAACAACTGATTTAATTAGAAGATTAAATTAATTAAATAATAATTTTATATAACTCAATTTACTGGTTTATTCAAATAGTCATTTAAAGTTTTAAAATGAGATTAAAAATCATTAAATATTTAGTTTTAAAGGTTGAATTTTGGGTTTTCATTGATTTAAGTCTTTAAATGGTAAATTTATTTTTCAACGAGCGAAGAAAGTAAACGCCATGCACAGAACCATGATTTAAGAAACAAGCCTGATATAATTCTGACAGTCGTCTCTGAAGTCTCATCCTTTATGGGTACTGTATACCGAAAACCTTTTCAAATAATTTCGAAGATATTTTTATCTTTTGAATGAAATGTAAGAACGATGTTACCTGAATATCACCTTCTTACAATCATTGAACATAATTTTTAAACAATTACCAATAAAAGCGGTTTTTTTTATAAATATAGAATACTAAGCTTTAAGGGCGTGTTACGACAATTTTAGTTTTTAACTGTTGCTCTTGAATTTTTTTTTATTCATTCTCAAATTTTCTATTAAAATTGACGCATTTTTAAAAATAATGTTTGTCGACATTTTTTGTTCCTTCCATGGGGTCATTTGAGTCGCCATAAAAAAATGGGCCTGATCTTTTCAGCCGTTTATTGGACACAAACAAACAAACACCCAGACAGACAACCAAACTCTATATAAGAAGAGAATAGATATATAGGACTGTACTGAAATATGAATATATAAATATATAAATATATATGAAGAGAACAGTGAGATATGACTGTACTGAAATATAAATACATAAATATATAAATATATAAGAAGAGAATAGATATATAGGAATATACTGAAAATATAAATATATAAAAATATATGAAGAGAACAGTTAGATATGACTGTAAAGAAATATAAATACAAAAATATATAAATATATAAGAAGAGAATAGGACTGTACTGAAATATAAATACATAAATATATAAGAAGAGAATAGATATAAAGGACTGTGAAATGAAAATAATCTGGTCTGTGTAGAGTCTACTATTACGTAAGATTTATTACCCAAACCTCCCTCACATTACGCCAAATATTCACTTCTTTTCATAGAACCTGCTAAAAATATATTTCAATTGTTTGGATTCGGACAGGGGTGAGGGATATGGGGGGGGGGGAAGGGACGGGTGAATAAACTAAAATTTATACCTCTAGGTCAAAAAAATAATTATTTTACCGCTCCTCCTCAAAAAAAACAATAATAATGTTAATTATTGAACATTAGGAAACAGCTGTATACAATGCAGAGCTTAACCCGAGAAGAACTGCAAAAAAATGCCCCCCCCCAAAATAAAAAATCCCCCCTTCCATTCCCATGCCCTGGTTAAGTGAGCGGTGTAGTAAGTAAGGAGTTACCGAGATGAAACCTGAATTATTAATTTTTACAGCGTCCCAACGGGTTTCCTCAAATTCAAACATTTGCGCCTTTATTGAGTTGAAGTGAACGTTAAAAAAGATAATTTGAAATTGATTATATATAGTTTATCATATAACATCGGTTTAGCTTCTAAAGTTTAGCTCAAACGATGCGATCTCTTGATTATCTAAAACTTGAAAATAAATACTATTTTGAATTCTAAACGCAACACATGACATAATTAAGAAAACTGATCGTAAAAAAAGAGTTAGATTTTTAGACCGCAATCTACGGTTGGAGGTTGATGCTATAGATTAATAACAACACAGATAGAACACTAGATGTCGTCTTTTCAAGAATTATGGGTTTTTTGTTCACAATATACCTTGAGGCAGAAGCCCAAAGGAGTTCCGCACAGGCAGCGTTAAATTACAAGACCATGCGCTGAACTCCTTTGGTCTAGGTATATTGTGAACAAAAAACCCCTAAATCTTTAAAAGACGACATATAGTGTTCTATCTGTGTTGTTATTAATCTATATGTTGATAGTGATCAGCTGCAAAATTTAACTTGTTAATTCAAGGATTCAATATCTTGTTCTCGAAATAACTAAGTTTGTGCCACACAATTTAAATTTCCCAATTTTTATATCTTTGGAACCTGATGATGTTAACCTTTGAAATTTCAAGCTTAGACTATTTAATATAACAGAGTTCATAATTTAAAATATCAAATATTTACGAAGATATGTTGATATGTTGATATGTTGATATGGTGATATGTTGATATGTTGATATGTTGATATGTTGATATGTTGATATGTTGATATGTTGATAAAAAATCAAAGTTTATGATATAAACTTGGTTACTTGCCATTCGTTAATATTTCATTATGCTTTTTAATATTGAGTTGCATGTCTGATTTACTACCCCTGCAAACATTTAGTCTCCGACATATGCCGATGTCGAACATCAAAAATACAGAATTATGTACCAGACATCTTCGCCATCGGCACGTTATAGACGGTTTAATGTTTCCTAAGACGTTGTTTCATTTTAACTATTTAAATTATGTGTACACTGTACACTGTACACTGTACACTGTACAGTCCTTTAACACAGATTTTTACGTTAACTATATTGGTTCTTGTACATTACATAGATAAATGTTTGTTGTGTGTGATAGTTGTGTAAAATAAAGAATTATTTAGGATTTATAAACATAAACCTTTTTCAGCAGAAACACACACGACCTTCTTTACACAGTACACAGTACACAGTACGTATATATTTACGTATTAAAAGACGGAAGGAATGAGAGGTTTTTTATCTCTTCACAAACATTTGAAATTTTTTTCCTCTAGGTTGGTAATTTACAAGAGGGATAATTATCACAGTAATTTAAATTCACAAAAGAGGGGTAATCAATAATCATTCCTTCACGGTGATTTAAATTCACAAAAGAGGTGTAATTTCATCCCTTTACGGTTATTTAAATTCATATGGGGGTAATTATCTCTTCACGGTGATTTAAATTAACAAAAGACGGGTAATTATCCTTGCTGGTTACATAACAAAAACAATGTGAAGAATAAAATATTTGCATAGATAAATTGGCCAGCCTTCTATTTAAAGTGTACAGAATTTAGTTTATTTTAAAATCTACAAATAGTAACTGTCGTCTTAGTTCATTCAGATCAACTGGAGAAGATTCCGAACCTCGAAGCTTCTCCTGGATTCGAACAGAATCAAACCCTTCAAAAAGATTATAAGAACTTTTAAAGTTATATTGTTAAAATTCTTTTCGCAATGGACCTGATATATTTAGCTCCTGGAGCAGGATTGAAATATCTAATTTGGTTTTCAAACCTTCCTCTTGGATTCGTTGGAATACTTTCTAAAACAAAAACTATCGAGAACAGACTTCAATTTAAAAACCTTATAGCATAGTACCTGAATCTACTCCATCTAGTATATATTAGTACCTGAAACTACTCTCTCTACTATATATTAATACCTGAAACTACTCCCTCTAGTATCTATTAGTACATGAAACTACTCTCTCTAGTATATATTAGTACCTGAAACTACTCACTCTAGTATACATTAGAAACTTAAACTACTCACTCTTGTATGTATTAGTACCTGAAACTACTCACTCTAGTATATATTAGTACCTGAAACTACTCACTCTAGTATATATTAGTAACTGAAACTACTCTCTGTAGTATATATTAGTACCTAAAACTACTCACTCTAGTATAAATTAGAAACTGAAACTACTCACTCTTGTATGTATTAGTACCTGAAACTACTTCCTCTAGTATATATTAGTACCTGAAACTACTCACTATAGTATATATTAGTACCTGAATCTACTCACTCTAGTATATATTAGTACCTGGATCTACTCCCTCTAGTATATATTAGTACCTGGATCTACTCCCTCTAGTATATATTATTACCTGAATCTACTCCCTCAAGTAGATATTATTACCTGAATCTACTCCCTCTAGTATATATTAGTACCTGAATCTACTCCCTCTAGTATATATTAGTACCTGAATCTACTCCCTCTAGTATAAATTAGTACCTGGATCTACTCCCTCTAGTATATATTAGTACCTGGATCTACTCCCTCTAGTATATATTAGTACCTGAATCTACTCCCTCTAGTATATATTAGTACCTGAATCTACTCCCTCTAGTATATATTAGTACCTGGATAAACTCTGTCTTCTGTTTCTCTTCTTGAATAAATATTTCCTGTAAAAAGTTGGTCAGATTCCATTCTTCTAGTCCTCTGAATTATAAAATGTTTGCTGTATATTATATACATAATATTATAAAATGTTTGCTATATATTATATATATAATATTATAAAATGTTTGCTATATATTATATATATAATATTATAAAATGTTTGCTGTATATTATATATATATATATTATAAAATGTTTGCTATATATTATATACCTAATATTATAAAATGTTTGCTATATATTATATATATAATATTATAAAATGTTTGCTGATACAACCCTATTATAGGAAGCTAAACCAGGGATATTTATATAATATATACAGAGTACCAGAGTATGGAGTATAAAACAATAATTGTGGTTATCCTTCTAAACTGCTCAACACAGAAAAAAGAGACGACATTTAAGAAGTTTTTTGGTGTATTTTATGTTGTTTTAAAGCAAAGAGTTTTACCAGTAAAATCAACTTATCGTGTAAGATGGTTCTGTGTACACTGCACAAAATGCTTTTCTTGACTTGACTTTTTGAAACGGGTCGTCTTCCATTTTCCAGTTTTATATGTCCCATTTTAGTAATGTAGTTTTTATCTAATTAATTATTTGCAAACCTGAATATTTTGCAAAGATTGATTTTCTGCGCAGTATCACTCGGATCCTTTGTAGAATATTAGATTAGCCAATTAAAAGTGCAGAATACGATTACGTTTACATAAATACAGAAAGTGGACTTAAAAAACATATTCGTCATATTTAAAATGTTTTTCGACATATTATTTTTAACTTGAATTTAATTCTCAATTTATATCTGTATCCAATATAAAGTCAAAACGGCTGAACCAATCGGCCTCAAATTTTGTATTGCAGCTCATATGAGCCCCAGGGAAAATTTATTGGTAGTTAAAGATGACAAATTTTGCCCCAAAAAATGTTGACATTTATTATTTTTGAAAATGCGCAAATTTAAGCAGAAAAAATCCCCGTAATATGATCTGATGGTGTAAACCTTGTATATATTTAAAAACGGAGATTATTTGAGTTCAGTTAAATTTCAAGAGGTTTATAGCTTCAGGTTGCTAAGATATATGATGCATGGCCAGAACTCAGTCCTCTTTATGTTTTCTGACCCTCTGTGTATAAAATAACAAACCTGGAACTCGTCTAAGGACTCCTAGCAGACCCCAGGACACAGCTCTTATTAAAGTTTAATTATGTATAACAGTTAATTTAACCTGAGTGTGGAAACTAGAGAATAAAAATAAATAATTAATGAGCCCTGTGTATTCCTTTATAGCGATGTGTAGTAGTCGCTCAACCTCGCTTTCTAGATATTATACATTTATTAAAGGAACTGTCAACCTCACTTTCTAGATATTATACATTCATTAAAGGAACTGTCAACCTCACTTTCTAGATATTATACATTTATTAAAGCGACTGCCAACCTCACTTTCTATATATTATACATTTATTAAAGAGACTGTCAACCTCACTTTCTAGATATTATACATTTATTAAAGAGCATGCCAACCTCACTTTCTAGATATTATACATTTATTAAAGGGACTGTCAACCTCACTTTCTAGATATTATACATTTATTAAAGCGACTGCCAACCTCACTTTCTATATATTATACATTTATTAAAGAGACTGTCAACCTCACTTTCTAGATATTATACATTTATTAAAGAGCATGTCAACCTCACTTTCTAGATATTATACATTTATTAAAGGGACGGTCAACCTCACTTTCTAGATATTATACATTTATTAAAGAGCATGTCAACCTCACTTCCTAGATATAATACATTTATTAAAGGAACTGTCAACCTCACTTTCTAGACATTATACATTTATAAAAGGGACTGTCAACCTCACTTTCTAGATATTAGACATTTATTAAAGGGACTGCCAACCTCACTTTCTAGATATTATATATACATTTATCAAAGGAACTGTCAATCTCACTTTCTAGATATTATACATTTATTAAAGGGACTGCCAACCTCACTTTCTAGATATTATACATTTATTAAAGCGACTGCCAACCTCACTTTCTAGATATTATACATTCATTAAAGGAACTGTCTACCTCACTTTCTAGATATTATACATTTATTAAAGGGACTATCAACCTCACTTTCTAGATATTATACATTTATTAAAGGAACTGTCAACCTCACTTTCTAGATATTATACATTTATTAAAGGGACTGTCAACCTCACTTTCTAGATATTATACATTTATTAAAGGAATTGTCAAACTCACTTTCTAGATATTATACATTTATTAAAGGGACTGTCAACGTAATTTCAAGTGAACATACATTTAAAGAGTATCATGTCTAATTCGCAAAGGTATCCTTTAATCCTCTATTTGAGTAACAATAAGGGGGATATCGTCGCTTTAAAGGTTACAAGCTCTAAAGCAAAAATCGATGAGAATTTTGCCAAATACTACTTAAAAACTCAAGCTTAACAACAAGTGCTTTTTAATGCTAAAATGAACATGTAAAAGGCTAATGAAAAGCATAATTGAGTTAAAGCGGTAAAATTCAAGCCCAAGGTGTTGCGACACTTCAAAGTCGACCCTGTCAACGTATATCTGAATCTATATGGTGTATAATAATCTATAAATAGCGTAAAATCTCCATAATAAGAATATGAGGAGGACGCACATATCTCCAGAATAAGAATATGAGGAGGACGCACATAACTCCAGAATAAGAATATGAAGAGGACGCATATATTTCCAATTATGATTTTGAAAATATTTATTGGAAAGTCTTGAAAGAAATTTTACGTTTTCCTTTTTCAAATCTTATAACATTATGAGAATTGAAAAAGTATTGATTCTACCAGAGAGAAAATAGATTAAAGACAGACAATGAAATTGAATTTTTGCTACAAACTCCAATTTTCTAATCTCTATATATTTGCAATCTTTGATATTTCAAACTTAGACTATTTGATCTAACAGAATTCATAGTTTGAAATATCAAAGGTCTAAAACATAGGATTGCAAAGATATAGAGATTAGAAAATTGGAATTTGTGGCAAAAACTTAATTCCTTTAGGTGTTTATAAGTAGGATATATACCGATACACTTGTTTGGAGGTTTAATTTTAAAAAAATATGAAGACGACTTTTATACTCAAATTATGACTTTAAATGGTCCAATGAACATGAACAGAACCATATTATTTAATATTTTTTTAATAATTTACTAGTAAAACTATTTGCTTTATACCAACATTAGATACACTTAAATATTGCGTTAATGTCGTCTTCCTATTTTATCAGACCTCTAATTTATTTCTGAGAATACTTTTAGATAAAAATTGTTCTTAAAGATCCTTTCTTTCCAATTTGTCTGTAAAATATTTTTTCGATGGTTTCTCCATTTTTAAAATTGGTGGGATTATATATTCTGCTGTATCAACGTAAAAGGACATCAGGACTCTGCAGGAGAGGGAAAATTTCAGGATTCTATTCCGAGGAACATTATTCGAACATGGACGCTGACTTCTTACCCTTTTATTAACGGGTAGAATATTATACGGTGGTAGGCGTTTAAATCAATATAATAAGAAGACTTTCGATTTCAATTTTTATGTTTATCAAGTTTTAAACAGCATGGATACACATAAACATTTAAACAAAGAGAAGCTCTCAATTAAAAAACTTCTCATTAAATATTTGTAAACTTGTAATTCGAAAAAAAGCACAATCAAAACTTAAATACAAAAGTCGTCTTCATTATATTGAAATAATCGCCTACCACCGTATAAAAAATTGCAAACAGAATATTCTTATGAAAGCTGCCAGGGCATCTCGCACCCCTTTTTGTGCTTCTTTCTCCGCACATACTAACAATTCAACAGACAAAGCAATGTTAAAAAACATATAATTAAAAAATCTATTTTTACCTTCAGAACAATCCGCATGTTGCAATAAATCTTTTACATAATCTTCTGATAAAACTCTTACTTTAATTCTAATAAAATTCGTCAAAATTTTAAGAAAAACTTGAAATCCGATAAAACTCTTGCCTGTTTTCTATTAAAACTCTTTGCGGAATTCTAAAAAGCACTTGCCTAAATTTAAAAAAAACTTTTGCCTGACTCCTAAACACTCATGCCTAAATTCTAAAAAACTCTTGTATGAATTCTAAAACCTCTTGCCTAAATTCTAAAAATCTTTTGCCTGAATTTAAAAAGAAATATCTTGCTAAAATTCTATTAAAACTCTTGCCTGAATTGTAAAACTATCTTGCCTAAATTCTACAAACCTCTTGCCTGAATTATAAAACCTCTTGCCTAAATTCTAAAAAACTCTTGCCTGAATTCTAAAAAAAACTCTTGCCTGAATTCTAAAAAACTCTTGTCTGAATTCTAAAAAAACTCTTGCCTGAATTGTAAAAAGTAACACTATCTTGCCTGAATTGTAAAAATATCTTACCTAAGTTCTAAAAAAAACTCTTGCCTGTTTTCTGATAAAACTTTGCTTTCAGGATTTGATGGAACTGTTTAGATGAGAGTAGCTGGTTCTGTCTCCTGTAATATTAAACACAAGAATAGGGGCCACTAGAATTCATGTAAAGGGGGGGGGGGGTTGTATAATATACAACAATTTATCTGGCTACTGTGATTTGGTGAAGATCTCTGTATACCTGGATCCTGTGTTCAACCTCTCTAAAGCTAAGTATAAGGTTTGGTGAAGATCTCTGTATACCTGGATCCTGTGTTCAACCTCTCTAAAGCTAAGTATAAGGTTTGGTGAAGATCTCTGTATACCTGGATCCTGTGTTCAACCTCTCTAAAGCTAAGTATAAGGTTTGGTGAAGATCTCTAATAGTTTGAAGAATACGGAACAGGGTTTCTTCACTTCTCTACACAGACAAAACAGAATAGAATTTGCAACTGTAAGTTATTGATCGAATAAAAGAATTGTGGCTTAAAACCAGCCCGATTTTAAAATGGAAAAAATCTGGCATAAAATCTGTTTTTAAAAATCTTATATTAATTATTATTTAAATGTCATATTTTTTCTCCTTCTTAAATATCATTTGATAATTTCTAAAAAAAAGAATTTTTTTATATACATTCTATTGTTGAAATTCAAGTCACCAGAATATCTTGGAATAGGAAGACGACAAAAAATTAATCTTATAGAGAGAACTGGGTAATGAGGGGAAGCATCTACATTATGAATTTATGAGCAATTTCTTTTTCAACTGTCAGTGTCTTACAGTTTCTTTAAAGATATTTTTAAATGGTTTTGAGGTAAATAATAAAATTCTAAAAAGATAATCTTCAGAAAAGAAATAGATTTTTTGCCAAATCATTGAATGAAAATAGTCTAGTTAGATTTTTAATTAAAATTGATTTTATCCTAGACTACGACCTACTTTTCACTTTTAGCATTAGGTACGAGAAATCAAAATTCGGAGTTTTTTCTATAAGATAATTCAAAGCTCCGGAAGTCGGAACTCGAGATAATGTCCCCTTATTGGCAAAGAGTGCATACTGAACCCTGCCATGGCCGACATTAGTAAAAAAATATCTTTTATGTAAAAGTCGTCGTTTTTACCTACATTAATCTGGGGATTACTGTGTGAACTGTTTAATATACCTTGTGTTGTAATGTATCCTT